ACAGCAGCTGGGCTCACAGCAGCTCTCTGGGCAGTCGTCCACCTGCCAGGAGGAGTTGGTGCAAGCGTCAGAGCAGACAGACATGGTGGAGGTGGCCATGTGGAAGCTGGGAGGTGGGAGCTTGTGAGTGTGGCAGTCAGTGTATATTGTTATGTGCTACGCTGTCAGCTTTTATACCAGACGGGGTATGTTTTCAACCGGAAGCCTCTAGAACCTTCCTTCCTCCTGGGTATTTTAAGCTGCGTCCTGAAAGCCCTTGTTAATCTGTTTATTTATAGGAGAGTTGCTCCTTCCGAGCTCCACGTGGTACTGGTTAGGACCTGAGGGTGCTGTGTGCTCAGTCCTCTGAGTGGAGCCTTGCCCATGCTGGGCCTGGCTTTGTGCACCTGCCACCCACCTCATCATCCGGGTGGCTCCACTAGGCAGTGAGTAGCCCGGAGTGAGTGGGTAGGGTTGGCTATATGCACCTGGCAGATAAGTGTCCCTGTGTCACATTTCCCAACGCAGCACAGGTCTGCAGAGAATGAGATGGTGAGGAAAACCAGGGCGAGATCGATTCTTCTAGAACCCAGGCTTTCCAGAACAGCAACAGAGAAGCAGAGCTGTGGAGAAAGTGCTACGGATGCGGGGCTGTGCCCTCCGGAAGTGAAACTTCCCTGTGTGCTGTGTGCCCACATAGGCTGGGAACCTATGCCTCAGATGCACAGTGACACCTTGGGAGCCTTCAGACAGCCCAACAGCCAACCTGAGCCCAGCAGGATGGATGCACCTACATCAAGTCTTCCTGCATGCTGCAGCTGTGGGGTGAGTGAGGGAGAATGGCATCAGAGGATAGGAGTGGGTTGAGCTTTAGTAAGAGGCTCTGAGACCCCTGCCTGCAGAAAGTAGCGCTAAAGCTCGGGACAGCAAAAGGACAGCAGGAACCTGTTGAAGCTTCCAACTTGGCAGGGGCAAGCAAGCCTGTCTCCTGGAACCCACAGAGCCACCAGCCACCAGACCCACTTTCCTTTCCTCCCCACCCATTTAAATCATTGTTTGTGGTTTATGATTCTCTGACCTCAAGATTCAGCCCGCTATGGTGTAGCAAGTTTATCTCTTTTTTCTGGCTCTATAATCTTCCATTGTATTGATTTACCACAATGTATCCATCCAGTGAGTGATGGATATTTTGACTGTCCCCTGTTTACTACAGACACGAATAAAGCCGCTGTCACCGTTGTTTGTGTTTGGTGTTTTGTTTGGTAATGAGTTTTCTTTGCTCTAGAGTAAATCTCTGTGTAGCCTTCTTGGGTCACACGGTGAGTAAATGTTTAACCTGGTGAGTAAATGTTTATCTTCAGGCTGCACTATCCCCGAGAGGCAGGCCATCTGCGTTCCACAGTAGTACAAGAGGGTAGCCCCTTGCTCTTTGTGTCTGCAGTGGGATGCATTCTCTGATGGCTGGCGTTGTGTTGGGTGTGTTTAATGGGCCTATCTTGCCCAGCTGCCTTGTGTCTGCACAGAGTCCTACACACAGTGTGAGAAAATGCACTCCCCACACTGGGCCTCTCTACCTCAGTGGCTCTAACGGGCTGTGGGGCTCCTGTACTGTGCTTGATGTTTCCCACTGGGACTTGTACCTGCTTCCCTCCTGCCCAGGCATCTGAGAAAAGTTTTTCATATTTATGCTCTTTTAAAATTTTTTTATTTTCCTTTTGAAGCAAGGTTTCGTGTGGTCTAGGCTAGCCTGGAATTCACTATTTAGCTGAGGATGACTTGGAACTCCTGGTCCTCCTGCCTCCTCATGTAAGTAGTGGGATTTCAGGTGTGCCTTACCATACTTGGCTCATGCCTGTATGGTTTAAAGATGAGAGGTTAGTACCTATGAGGTCCATCTCATCAGCCGGTCTCTTATACAGTACCCTTCCCTCGTTGATCTGAGAAATCTGCCTCATACTAAGGTATGCAGATACTGGCTGTGTGTGTGCCCCAAAGGTAAAACATACTCACTCCCTTGCTTTCTCCCTCCCTCTCCTCCTCCCCTTTTTTTCTTCCTCCCCTCCCCCTCTCATAGGTTTACTGAGCACAAAGCTGGGTCAGTACCCTGGGCAGTGACAAAGTTATTTATAGGTCAGGACCGATGGAAGGGCTCATTGTTGCTTTATGGGGGAATTTCTTGGGAAGTGTGTGTAAACTGTCCATACTTGTTCTTTTTTTCTTTTCTTGTGATAATTATGCGTCTCTTGAAATTACATATTAATTTTAAAACCAGCTTTGAGATTTCTGCAAAGATGTTTACTCAGGCTCTGCCAGGAACTGGAAAAGTCTCCAGATCAGCAGGGGGCACCCTTCCTGGTGTATTTAGAAGGTTTTCACATGAGTTTCTTAGTTTCCAAAGCATGTGTTTTGTAATTTGTGGATTTAGCTTGGATATGAGGACATCTATCCCCCAATGGTGATTGGGATTGATGGGCTGAGTAGATGCCTGTGTCTTGCTGAAGGGTAGGGAGAAGGCGTGTCAGTTGTGGGTTCCTAACCGATATCAGAGTAAGGAAGTCCCCTTGCTTGGGCTTGTGGGGGGCTTTATTGTAAAAGAGTTGGGCCATCCCAGCTCCTTTTCTGCATATATTGATATGATCGTGGGATGTTTGCCTTTATTATATCAATACAATACATCACATTAGTTGATTCTTCAGATATGAAGCCAGTGTTTTATTCAGAGATAAGCCCCACTTAGCCACAGTGTTAAGAAGCTTTCTGTTATGTGATAGAAGGCCTGAGGTAATCTGTCTCTGAAGAGGAAAGGTTACTTGGCTCCTAGTTTAGGAAGTGTCACTGTGTCTTAGTGACTTTTCTGTTATTAAACAGCAATCTGTTATTAAAAGGCAATCTAAAGAGGAAAGAGTCCACCATAGTGGCATAGTGGCAGTCGTGGCAGCTGGGGTAGCAAGCTAGGAGCTCACATTTGCACCAGAGCATGCAGCAGAGAGAAAGTGAATGTGATGGGAGTGAGTCTTTAAGCTCTCATAGCCCACCTCCACTAACATTCTTCCTTCCACAAAGCCCCACAAACAGTGCCACCAATTGGGGACCAAATGTTCAAATACTGGAGCCCATGGGAGACGTCTCAATCAAATCATTGCACTCCACATGGCTGTTTGGCTCTGATGCCTTCAGGCTTGAGTCAGGTGCGTGCCATGGTGGGGAATATGACAGGAATCTGCTTACTTGTGGTGGCTAGGAGAGGAAGAAGAAGGCCATAAGGTCCCAATGTCCCTTTCAAAGGTATGCTCTGATGTCTTAGTATGCTTCCTGTTGCTGTGATAAAGGCCATGACCAAAAGCAACTTGGGGCAGAAAGGGTTTATATTTTATCTTACCACCATTCCATATAACAGTCAGCATCAAAGGGAGTCAGGGCAGGAACTGGAGCTGAGGCCATGGGAGAGCACCCCTTATTGGCTTGTTTCCCACAGCGCACAGCATGCTCAGCCTGCTTTCTTAAACACACTAGGATCACCTGCCCAGGGTTGGCGCTGTGTATAGTGGGATGGGCCCGCTCACATCAATCATTCATCAAGAAAATGTCCCATAGACTCATCTATAGGCAATCTGGGGGAGGCTTTGTCTCAATTGAGTTCACTCTTCTCAGATAACCCTAGCTGTGTCAAGTTGACAAAAAAACTAACCTGTAGCACACTAAAGACCCAGAGACTGATATTGGGGTTTAAGCTTCAAGCTGAAGATCAGAAAAGCAAAGCCGCCAAGCCTCTACCTCAGCTCAGACCAAAGGGGTGATCCTCAAACTGCTCCAATTCACTCAGACTGCATGCTCTCCTCAACGCGGCTAGAGACTAATCTTGAGACTGAATGCCTCCAGCTTTTTTTTATATCGCTCAAATCCTGAGATTAAAGGAGTGAGCTCTGATTCGCTATCTGGTAGCCTAGGGTGGTCTTGGACTCAGAAATCTGTCTACCTCTTAACCCTGTGTCCTGGGACTAAAGGCGTGTGCCTGACTTCTACGGCTAACCAGTATGGCTGCTTTGCTGTTTTGATCTCCTGTGGCTTTAATTAATCATAAATGATACATCACCACACTAACCAGCATGTCCAATGACCTCACTTCCTCCCATTAGACCCCACCTCTTCCAGACATCACCATCTCCTCACAACACGACAGGCTAGGGACCAAGCTTTGGCACCTGGGTTCTGGGTATACTGAAAAACTGTGGCACTGCTGTACCTGACTCTTTCTGTGACGCTGGGTTTTGTTGCTTGGGTAACTGACCCGAGGCCTTTCTCGGCACAGGTGCCCATGGCTGTGAGCTTCTCTAACCACAGGGCTTCTGCTGCTTCTGCGCTGTGGTAGCTGATATCCAGTGTCAACCTGAAAGGATTTGGATACCTGGGGACACACTGCTGGGCATGTCAGTGAGGGAGTGACTGAGGAGGGAGGAGCCTCCATGAATGTAGCTGGAGTGTTGGATTGAATAACAAAGAGGAAGTGACCTGAGCCCCTGAGCATCACTCTCTGCTTCCTGACTGAGGTCTCAGTGAGCCTCCTTACGCCCATGTCAACATGATGTCCCTGCCATGATGGCCTGTGTCCTCAAACCCTGAGCTAAAACAAAGCCCTTCTTTCCTTAAGTTGTTTTGTTCAGGTGTTTTTCACTGTCAGAAAAGCAACTCACAGAAAGGACACCAGAAATTGACGGGGTGGGTGGGTGGGTGTGGATGGGGGTGTCTCCCCTCCCCATATCTGACAGAGGCCACCATGTACACTGCAAAGGAACCTTAATGTCAACAATGAATCAACCTAACTCAAAAACTGGCAAGAGAGTGGATAGACCCTTTGCCAAAGAAGACACCCGGATGCCAAACAATGCCCACAGTGTAAACTCAGAAAACTGAAGTCACAGGCAGGGTGGGGCACATCTGTGATCTCAGCTATGCAGGAGAGGGACCATGAGTTTGAGGACAACTTGTACTGTACACACACACACACACACACACACACGCACACACACACAGAGAGAGAGAGAGAGAGAGAGAGAGAGAGAGAGAGAGAGAGAGAGAGAATGAAAGAGAATGTGAATGAGAGAGAGTGAATCTGTACACTTGTAAAAATGCCCCACATCAAAATGACAACAGCAGATGTTGGGGAGGAAGGAGTGATGGGAACTCTCTCTCTCACTGCTTCTGATAACGCAGGATGGCTCAGAGATGTAGAAGAACTTGGTGGACTCTTAAAAAAAAAAAAAAAAAAAAAAAAACAAAAAACCAAAGACACCTCCAACCATCCAGCACCCATTATTAAAAGGAGCCAAAAGGCCACATCTTCACACATATCTCTGAATGGATGTGCACGCCACTTCAGTCAAAATTCCAAAAGCCCCACAGAGTCATACAGAGTCTCATCTGGGAAGGAGAGACCCTGCAGGGAAGGGAGAAACCCTGCCAAAGGAGAGACTGCATCCAGAGAAGGGAGTGATCCTCAGCGCCACGGGAAAAAGGACTGTGGAGGGGCACGGACCTGGAGGGGAGGGGCTCGGAGGGCACGGGCCTGGAGGGGCTCGGAGGGCACGGAGGATGTGGGGGTATGTAGTGGGAAGAAGAGAGGGCTGCAAGAGGATTGCTGGGGGTGGCGGGGAGACTCCATAAGGTATCAGAACCCTGAAGGCACTCAGGACAGCAAAGTATTCCGTAAGACACTTCAGGGGTGGGTACATCTGTGTGTCACCCATTTGACAAAGTCCTCAGCATGTCTGACACCAAGAATGGACTTGGTGACAAAGCCAGGTCCCTGGACTGGGCTGTGCAGGGCAGGGCTTCTGCCTGCCGCTCCAGCTTGCTCCTTTCTCTCTAAGCAGTTCCCTGTGGACAGAACCCGAGCCACACTCATGGTTTAACGACTTTATCACAGCCTTCAGTAGTATGGCCCCCCAGCTCATCAGCATGCTTCTTCCTCACAGCAGTCCTTTCAGCTGTGCCCCTCTAGGCTTTCTTTCTTTAAACGTCTTCCCGTCTTGCTCAATGGCTCCATCTTTCTCTAACGTCTTGGTTGTGTGGGATAGGTGAGGATAGTTGGTTCCTGATCTTCTCTGGCCACATTTTCCAGCCGTGGGTGTCTACTAAACTGAACAGCTCTTCAACTGGGTGCTGTATTTTTTGATCACTCAAGCTCTTGCCTGGATGGGCTGGGGGCCAACAGGCTGGTCACTTGGGACTCCCTTAGGTATTCTGGTGGTAAATTAGGTTGGGTCATTTGTCTGACTCCCTTCAGAGGAATTCCCCTCAGGGCACTACTCCAGGTGCTAAAGACAGGCTTCATGCCCAGGAGATGTCCCAGACATGAGTTCTACTGCCTATTATGGGGGATCCCTGGCCCAGCAGCAGCTTCTCTTGGCCACGCGTGCACGTTTCTGAGACCATCACCCACTGGAGAGTGGGGACCCCCTGTGGATGCTGGGGACCCTTTCCAGATATGGGGGACCATCATAGCAGCATCTCACTTTTCTGCTTTGTGCAGAGCATGACACTGAGCTCCACTGGTCACCCCCAGGGCAGGTGGCCAATGTCTCTCACTATTGCAGGGCTAAATCCCTCCCTCCTGGAAACAATCACAGCCTACAGAGAATTGCATCTACTTAAATCACATTTCTCACAGTGTGAGAGGAGATCTAGGCATTTAGAAGAGTTTATTGATGTTCTGAGCACCTGAAGGGCTAATGCCAAAGACAAGTGACCAGAGCAGAGGGATAGTGAGGGGGACAGTGACCTGGGGTGCAGGTGGAGCTCCTGGTTGGCAGGAGGTCAGGTCAGGTCAGGGTAGGGAACTTGTTGGGGTTCTGTCCTGTGGAGATACCACATCAGGAGCTAAGAGGGATTGGGGAAAGGGACATGAGCTGGAAGTAGACAGATCCATCAGCAGCTGGACTTCTGGCCTGAGGAGAGGCCACAGCAGGCCTGGCTGGAGCAGGCAGGGCGGCAGAGCAGGGACATGCTGGAGCAGGGCTTGCAGCAGCTGGGCTGGCAGGAGGAGGCACAGCAGGAGGAGGTGGGCACACAGCAGGCAGGTCTGCACACAGGCCGGCAGAGCAGGGACACGCTGGAACAGGGCTTGCAGCAGACAGGCTTGCAGCAGACAGGCACACAGCAGGATGGTTGGCAGCATGAGGGCTGGCAGCTAGACTGCTGGCAGCATGAGGGTGTGCAGCAGACAGGCTTGCAGCAAAGAGTCATACAACAGGGTGAGGAGGTGCAGCATGAAGGCTGGCAGCTAGACTGCTGGCAGCATGAGGACCCACAGCAAATGGGTGTGCAGCAGACAGGCTTGCAGCAGACAGGCACACAGCAGAGCTGTTGGCAGGGGGAGCAGGGGCAGCAAGCTGGCTGGCAGCTAGACTGCTGGCAGCATGGTGCACAGGAAGACTGGCAGCAGGGGCTGGACCCACAGCTCACTGGGGTGCAGACAAGAGTAACGCAGGGGGCTGGGGCACAGCAGCTAGGTTGGCAGCAGCTGGGGACACAACAGCTGGGCTGGCAGCAGCTGGGCTCACAGCAACTCTCTGGGCAGTCATCCACCTGCCAGGAGGAGTTAGTGCAAGCGTCAGAGCAGACAGACATGGTGGAGGCGGCCATGGTGAAGACTGGGCTGGAGTAGAGTTGAGTGAGTGCGTGTGTGAGTGAGTGTTGAGTGTGAGTGTGCGTGAGGTGCTGAGCCATCAGCTTTTATCCCCCTGTGCTGTTGTGGTTTTTGGCCTCTTTTCCTTGTTGATGTGGCTCATGGCCATCATTAGGGTGTTTGTTTGTCTGGGATGTTGTTGTCAGACTGTCTGTCTCCTGCCAGTGGGTGTTGCCGGAAGCAGTGTGGGATAGTTAGGTAAGGCTCTGTGACCAGTGAGGTTGGGGTGTTATTGGTGGGACTTGTCCCAGCCATGCCATCCAGCTATGGCCAGCTGCCAGGACACTTGTCCTCTCTGCAAGTAGTGCTAGGAGAACAACGTCCTCAGCCCAGTGCTCACTTTGTGACAGTGCTGAGACTAGACATGTGACATGTCTAGAGCCACTGGGTTGAGGGTGCAGTGATCAGCCTGTAACTATTCCACGCAGAGTGTCTTCTCAGCTCCTGCACCTCTTTGTATTACCCTGTAACACTGTCTACCCTGCCCTGTGACACTGTCCCCCCTGCCCTGTGACACTGTCCCCCCTGCCCTGTGCCTGTGTCCCCCCTGCCCTGTGACACTGTCCGCCCTGCCCTGTGACACTGTCCCCTCTGCCCTGTGACACTGTCCCCCCTGCCCTGTGCCTGTGCCCCTGGAAGCACGGAAACATTTTCTTTTCAGAGAAACTGCTGCAGGATGAGTGGATTTGGAGATGCTGTGACACCAGGTTCTGATTCCATATGAGACCGTCTGTCAACCATACTTGACCGTGGGGAGTGGACCTTTATCAGCCAGTGGAGCGGGGGAAGCTGGCCTGACAATAAATTTCTGTTTGAAGGCACCAGGAGGCCCAGAGATAGCTGAGACTTGAGGGACCAAATCCCTATCACAGAAGAGTCCTGCATAGGGCCTACATTATTGTGGATTTTCCTCTCGAGGCACTGACTGGGTCATAGCTCTCTGGGAAGGGGCTGGGAAGTTGACCAAAGCCTTTAGTAATCTTAGAACCAGAGGGCAAAGCAGAGTTCAGGGCCTGCTGAAGTGGAGGGTTCTGGGAAGCAAACACTGGCTGTGAGTGCAGGAGCTTCCCCCAGGAAAAGCAAAGCAGAAACTAGGTGGCTCTGCCTATACATCAGCTCAACTGAACATGGTAAGCTGCCCACAGACTATTTGCCAGAGACAGCCACCCATCCCTTCTGGGTCAGATAGCAGCACCAGAGACTCAAGGGACCTTAGATTTTTTTTTCCACAGTGAATTCTTGCCATTGGTCATGTATCACCAGGCATTCTAGAAGACAAGACCAGTTGAACAAGAGTCAAGAGAAGAAAAGAAGAGACCTAGACATTAGAACAGTCACATATGGACTTAACGCAACTGATGAGGGCTGGGGACATAGCTTGGCAGCAGACTGAATGCCGAGGATGCACAAAGCCCTGGGTTTGGTCCCCAGTACTACACAAACAAAGAGGGTGACTTGGGGATGCACTTCAAAAACAAAAGGGTAACCATGGTGATGCCCTTGTTTCTCTTCGGATCAAATGGAGCATTTACCTTAAAGGGACAGTGACATATCTTTCAGGAAAATTGGGAGAAAGATGCAGAATTTTCCCCCATTGGCAACTGGCAGTCCACAAATAAGAACCAAATCCTAGAAACGAAGAACACAAAGAACTGAAATTTCAGTCTGTGCCTGATTAGGTTAACAGCACATCAGACAAGGCGGAAGAGAAGATTAGAGAAGGGAAGGGAGATGGCTGTGGTGACTGAATACAGGGGTGAGGAGGGCTGACGTACAGGAAATGGAGCAAAAGGCTCAGGGGCAGGTGAGGAATTGTTTGGATCCTAGGAGAGACGGAGGGATGGGGTGAGGTATTTGAATACAAACAGGCAGAGGCTTTACACCGATGAAAGCCATTGATCCATCAGTACAAACAGAGTGCATTTTAGGTGTATTTAAAAGAGGTTAGTGAAACATTACATAGGAGTCTACACATGTGCCCATCAGGGCTGAGATACAATGGCAGTAGGCAGTAGGGGTGGGAAGAAGCAACATGACTCAAGGATGACTTTTAGATGGGAAGGTGGGGACCAGGAGGCCATGGAAGCACTCTTTCTCATCAGAAAGAAAACAGGCACCAAGCTAGAGCTCCACGCCCACAGAGAATGTCCCTGGAGATGAGGGCCAGACATCAACATTCTTGGGCACAGACTCAGACAGCATTGAGGTATTGCTGAGGGACGGGTGTGGTTAAACCGAACAACTCCCAACCATATCGGGTACCATGCAAACCCCTACGGAGGTAGACTGTGCAGAAGCAGGATGAGAATTGTTCTAGAGTTAAAGGGTCTCAACACCCTGTGCTGTCCAAGGAGCAGTATGTCACATGGCTGTGCTGACGTCTATGTTCCAGGGTCCCAGATTAACAGTTGTTGTTTAACCACTGTCCTGTGCTAAGTGGGGGCAGAAGTTGGGGACCAACCTGAGAGAAAAGAGATAGAAAGTGGAGGAATGAAAATCCTGTGTGTGCAACCCCAAGCACGGAGCAAGGAAATAAAGGGGACACAGAGTTAGAACCTGGCTACAAGAGTGAGATGCACTGTCACCCTGGTGGACAGAGCTTGTTCACGGGGCTTCATTTTGCATTTCTGTGATGACTTGGGAAGCGGTGTGTAACTACATGTGTTTATTGCCATCCTCACTTCTGCCTTCCTGGAGGGCTGTCCACACATGGCAATTTGTGAAACAGCATCATTCCTTGTCTAAGGTTATGCTAAGATGGCTGTGGTTTGGATGTGAGGTGTCCCAACAAGCTCGCATGTTTGAATACTTGGTCCCCAGAGAGTGGTACCACTTTGGAAGGTTGTAGAAACTCTAAAAAGTGGAGCCTGGCTGGAGGAAGTGTCACTGGGGGAGGGGGCAGGCCTTGAGGTTTTGTAGTCAGTGCTACTTCCGGTCTGTTTCTGGACCAGTTAGTTGTCTCACAGTCCTGTCACCAAGCCATCTCCACCATGATGGACTGCATCCCTCAGACTCTGAGAAGAAACAGTCCTTTTCTCAGGTATTTGGTAACAACAAGTAGCTACTACAGGGCCTGACAGCCAGGGGCTGCAGTGGGCCAGGAACTAATAAACAGGAACAAGGGACAAGGGACAAGGGACAAGGGACAAGAGATGTCACCAGTGGACGGTAGTAGTGATGTGCTTCACACATCCGCCTAGCTTTGGAGTCCACACAGAAGGAATGGAAGCTGCAATATCTTCCATCCAAACATCTAGGGTCAAATCCTAGAGCTGGATCCTTTCTACCTGGGTGTCTGGCAGTGAAAACACCTTCGTTGGAGGATTCTCCAGAGGACAGGAAGCAGGAAGTGCTTTAACCTTGCTTCCCCAGGCTGCTAATTATCCAGACCTTGGGGAGTTGAGGCATGAGGAGATTGCCTAAAGTGAGAAGAACAGCTGTAGAATGCTGTGTGAAGCCCATAGTGTGGCCTGGAGAGGTGAGGCCTGGCTGGGAGGAGCTGGCCACAGCCAGAAAGGTAGCCATGGACAGTGGACAGTAAAGAGCTAATTAGTGTGCTAGCTGGGGTGGTTTATCAGCAGAAGAAGGGGCACAGAGCATTATGTGGCAGCAAGCAGGGTCCCTCACAAAAGTCCAGCAACCCTTGATGTTACTAGATGTCACTCCCTGCATCTGATCCCCAAAACACAGGAAGCAAAACTGGACAGAATTGATGAGCCAGGCAATTCCAGGATAGTAGTGGAGACTTGAGTAAACTATCCTCTCTCTAGTAAAAACTAAATGCTAGAACTAGATCCAAGTTCAATAAGGAAATGTGGGAATGGAAAAACGCTGGAAGCCAACCAGAGTCCATGGATGAGCGCAAAACAAAACCAAGCAACAGCAGACCATATTCCTTCCAGACGCACATGGACCAATCTCCCGACAGACAGGAAGAGAGGCCAGGACACCAGGGCGACAATATAAAATGACTGAAACTATGCAAGTGTCTTCCCTCACCACACAACAAGAAAGCAGATGGCAAAACTAGACCTAAGTGGCATTCACACCACAAAGAAGCCAGAGATGAAGAGAAGTGATGCCCAAGGCTACTGGAAGGACATTAAATGAGAGGAACCAAGAAACAACACACAAAGTGGAAAAGCAGTGATTGATGAAGCCCGAAGTTAGTTCTTTGAAAGAAGAAATAGAACGGATGACATGTGGCCAGACTGAGAAAGAATCGAACAGTTCAAGTCAGACATGAACTTGGAGATCCCTGTAAAGGACAAGCACAGCTCAGGTCAGCCTTAGCTGAATTCCCTCTCCAGCATCAGTGCCCACTGTGAACATCTACAGGAGAGACGGCCTGGGTGACAGATGTCAATTGACGTCTCCACAGTTGCCTTGTCCCTTCAGTGAAGTCCAGCCACCAGCTGGTGTCTAGTTGGTTCAGCCACAATAAATATCTTTTTGTTTTCCTTTTTGAGGCAGGGTTTCTCTGTGTAGCTCTGGCTGTCCTGGAACTCACTCTGCAGATAGGCTGGTTTTGAACTCACAAATATCCACCTGCCTCTGCCTTACAAGTACTGGGATTAAAGGCATGTGATACCACCCCCTGGTCACAATACATATTTCCTATAAGGCAGGTCCACTATGGATTAACCTTTCTTTCTGGTTAATCTTTCTTTCCATCTGAGGCTGTTGCTTCTGCTTCAGTTTTGGAAGCTAACGACTCTTCTCCATTTGAGGATGGGTCCCCACCCACTCATCCAGCCAGCCAGCAATTTGCAGAATCCATAATCTTCCTCCTGTTCCCCTAGCTTCTCACAGAGCCTCAGCTGTCACTCATCTCTCTCACTGTTTCTGTCTCTTGGCAATCCGATGCTTCCGTGAAAGTGGCATTGCCCATGGTATCTATTTAGTCTCCTGGAATGGAGCATGTGTTTCATTAAAATTAGGAATGCTTGAGCCACTG